CTACAATAATCTATAGGGTTTGTGGCGAGAGATCGATTTTCATCGTCCCAATCCAATGGAATGTGCAACCGACATACAGAAATACAACTCAATTCTACAGGAGGAGAGAGTGTATATTTTTCTAGATGGGCTAGATGATCAACTAGACAATGTTCGAAGTGATGTTCTCCAACTGAAGCCTTTCCCCACAGTTGAGCAAGCATATGCTCACGTTCGAAGAGAGGATATCCGCCAATCTGTGATGGCATCAGGAGCAGAGACAGTGGCTAGTGGTGCTGTTATGGCCACCAAAGGTATGAAATCTACCCAGTCATAAACCTTGGTGAAGTCTGGGTCATCCTCACGATCCAAGGGTCACGCTGATGGGAACAATTGCACTCACTGTGGCAGTACAAAACATTCCCGGGAAACATGCTTCAAACTACATGGCTATCCAAACTGGTGGCATGAATTACAAGCCCAAAAGAAACGAGATGCTCCTGTGATTGAAGATGGCACGGGTCGAGTAGTGGTGGCCACTGCGGAATCTCAATTGCCACTTGTTCCCATAGCTGAATCTTCCACTTCACTCCCGGATCAAGGTAATTGTGGTCATGTTTTTATATACCTTTACTTCTCGGAATGATGGCGCCTGGATTATTGACTCCGAGGCAACTGATCATATGACATTTGATCCAAATAACTTCTCCAACACAACTCAACCATGGAGGACTTGCATTGCCAATGCCAATGGGGCCACTTACCCAGTCACAGGGGCTGGAACCGTGCCCTTATCTCCCTCTCTTTCTTTATCTCACACGCTCCTTATTCCGTCTCTCTCAAATAAATTGATGTTTGTGAGTCAAGTTACAGAAGAACTCAATTGTGTAGTACTGATATACACTACTTTCTGTTTTCTTCAGAATATTCTCAGCAAGGAGATTATTGGGCATAGTAGTAAGAGGGGGGACTGTATTACGTAGATGACTTCAGCCCGGGCATAGCAAATCGCACGCACAATCAGATCAGTAGAAAAGAAAAGGGAGATTTGGCTGTGGCATCGGCGTTTAGGACATCCATCATTTGGTTATCTACGACATTTATTCCCAGTTTTATTTCCAGTTTGCAGAATATAGATTTTAAATGTGATACATGTATCATGGTTAAAAGCCACAGAGTCCCTTATCTAATAAGCTTGAATAAAAGTAATATTCCATTTGTTTTGATACACTCCGATGTGTGGGGACCATCCCCGATAACTACTTCCTCTAGTTTCCGTTGGTTTGTAATTTTTGTTGACGATTGTACTCGAATGACATGGCTCTACTAGCTGAAAACTAAAGATGAAGTTTTCACCGTGTTTCAAGCATTTCATGCCATGATTCAGACCCAATTCTCCTCAAAGATAAAAATCCTCCGTTCCGATAATGGTAGTGAATTCATTAACCAAAGCTTTCAGGCTTATTTCCAGTAACATAGTCTCCTCCATGAGACCTCATGCTTTCAGACACTGCAACAAAATGGCGTCGCCGAGAGGAAAAATAGGCACATTCTTGAAACTGCTCGAGCATTACTCCTTGGAGCAAAGGTACCAAGTCGCCTTTGGGGGGATACGGTGGCTACTGCCGTGTACTTAATCAACTGTATGCCATCTAAAATTCTCTAATTTAAAACTCCCCTACAAATCCTCTCTACCCATACCTCCCTACATACTACATTGATACTTCTTCCTAGAACTTTCGAATGTGTTGTTTTTGTCCATCTCCACAAGAATCAATGTACCAAACTGGATCAATGTGCAGTTAGGTGCTTATTTTTAGGATATGGTTTACATAAAAAAGGCTTTCGATGCTATGATCTCACTACCAACCGAACTTATATCACCATGGATGTCACATTTCTTGAGTCTCAGACATTTTACTCTTCACTGGTACCCAATTCTTCCCTTCAGGGGGAGACTCAAGTGGAAGAGCCAAATTGGTGGTTGATGGCTCCTGCGAGTGAGCATGAAACTAGAACTAGAGAAGTTGAACCACAAGATGCATCACCAGAAAATGCAAAATTGACATGTGCAGTGCCCGAAAATAAAGAACCTAGACATGAAGAGGCCGAAATGGAGAACCTGAAAATATAGAGTCCCCTCACTCCTTAGTACCCGAAGACCTTCTTCCTCCTGAGAATGTTCCTGAGGTAAGTACCCCTATTGCACCTTTACATGCTAATATCCTAGATTCTTCTATTGGTTATGTCTTGCCTTTCAGACACAACCGTGGGAAACCACCAGATAGATACACCCCAGATGAGAAAGAAAGAAGGACCAAGTACCCAATTGCAAATAATGTGTTTACTCAAAGTCTGTCCAAGCCTCTTAAGACTTCCACTCAAGCACTATCCTCCTGCCATATTCCCAGCAGCGTTGAGAAGGCTTTATCCGATCCAAAGTGGGCACAAACAATACAAGAAGAACTGGAAGCCTTACAGAAAAATAACACATGGAAGTTACTCTCATTACCGAAAAGAAAAAAGACAGTAGGATGCAAATGGGTGTTCTCTATAAAATACAAGGCTGATGGATCCATCGACCGATATAAGGCAAGGCTCGTCGCGAAGGGTTTTACTCAAACGTATGGCATCGACTATTCGAAAACCTTCTCACCAGTAACCAAACTGAATACGATTAGAGTCTTGTTGTCTTTTGCAGCCAACTTAAACTGGCCACTACATCAACTCAACGTGAAAAACGTCTTTCTTCATGGCGACCTTGACGAGGAAGTATACATGGACATTCCGCCGGGATATACAGGATCTTCCAAGACCAAAATTGTGTATAAATTGGAGAGGGCATTGTATGAGCTAAAGCAGTCACCTCGAGCGTGGTTTGGTCGATTCAGTTCAGCTATGAGAAAGTATGGTTATCGCCAAAGTAATTCTGATCATATTCTCTTCTTGAAACACCAACAAGGCAAAGTGACAGCTTTGATCATCTATATAGATGATATGATAATTACGGGGGATGATGTCGAAGAGATCTCTAGGCTACAAGGGCAATTGTCTAATGAGTTTGAAATGAAGAACTTGGGAGGGCTCAAGTATTTTCTAGAAATAGAGGTGGCAAGGTCAGAAAGGGGCATATTTCTTTCTCAACGGAAGTATGTACTGGATTTATTGATAGAAGTGGGATTATTGGAGTGCAAACCAGTGGATACCCCGATTGTGCAGAACCATAGGCTTGGGGAATACTCGGACCAGGTACCGGCTGATAAAGTGAGGTATCAAAGACTAGTGGGGAAGCTCATCTACCTATCTCACACTCACCCAGACATTGCTTACGCCGTAAGTGTAGTAAGCCAATTTATGCATTGTCCTAGTGAATACCATATGGGTGCAGTAATTCGAATCCTCCGTTATCTGAAGTCATCACCAGGAAAAGGACTAATGTTCTCCAAGAATGACCATCTAAATATTGAATGGTACACGGATGCGGACTGGGCAGGGAACATCTTGGATAGAAAGTCTATCTCAGGCTACTTCATATTTGTGGGAGGCAACTTAGTTACATGGAGGAGCAAAAAACATAAAGTAGTGGCATTGTCCAGCGCTAAAACTAAATTCTAAGGCATGGCAAAAGGATTGTGCGAGCTTCTGTGGCTTAGAAGTTTGCTAACTGAAGTTGGTTTTCTTCCTGGTTCGGCAATAAATTTATTCTATGATAATAAGGCTGCCATCAACATATCTCACAACCCAATCCAACACGATCACACCAAGCATGTGGAAGTGGATCGGCACTTCATCAAACAAAACCTGGAAGAGAAGATCATTCAGTTTCCTTTCGTCAAATCTGAAGATCAACTGGCTGACATACTTACCAAAACAGTTTCTAGTAGAAGCTTCCATGATTCACTTGACAAGTTAGGCGTTAGAGATATCTACGCACCAACTTGAGGGGGAGTGCTGGCGTGAGTCATGTAATTAGCCTGCTATAGAAACCTTAGATATAGGAATCCCTTCAATCAAGGGTCAAACTTAATTATAGCCATAGATACTGTATCCTAAAATAGTTTTCTTGTATCTATATATCTTGTACTCTGTTCTATGAAATAATATATGAAAATCACAATATATGAAAATCACAGTTTGACAGACTTCATTTGGCTAATGCGTGTTGCTGATGCTTTTGCATTGAGTTAGTAATGACAGATTTCTAAACACTATTTGTAGGGCTATTACCAAATGAATGTGATGATATTGTACGCACGTGTTTTGCATCAATTATAGCTGAATTAGAGAATGCAAATTTTGTAAAAAAAAAAAAAAAAGTAAATGCAAATTCCGAAATTCAAATATATTTTGGAACGCATATATCTTCATCTTTTTTATTTTTCTTTAAAAAAAAAAAAAAAACAAAAAACAAAAAAAAAAAAAAAAACAAATACTTTTATTCACATATATCTTCATCTTTTTTATTTTTTCTCTGTAATATTTCTTTTCTTTATATATATATATATATATATATATATATATGGTTGTGGAACCAGGTGTGTTATAATTTTTATAAAGCATGAGTTTGTAATATAATTATATATAGGTAATTATTGATCCCTTTTTTATCTCATCTAAATCTTTTCCATTTCATCTCGGATGTTTATTGCATAATTTCTTGTTTTCCCATGAGAGTTTAAAACTCGGAATTGAATATATAGAAATTTAAAACTATTATTGACCTGTTTTAAATCAACTCGATCACTGAACAAATATTTCATGTGTATTTATTGTATTGGATAACATATTTCAACAAAATATCTGCTGAAACTATTTTTTCTTCAAAATCTCAATGCTGAAATAAACACTTCCTTATTTTACAATAAAAATAATAATAATAATGGCATAAACAAGCACTTCATTAATCTCAAGAGGTTGGTATAGTTAAAAAAGACAACCTATTTCGTCTAGTTTAAAAAGACTTAATCGAATCTTCGAAAACATCAAGTCTTACGGGTGTGTGAGTACCAGCTAAAAAAAACCTAAGAACTAAGAATGTCTTGGGCCATTTTTCTAGCCTTCTTGGTTCTTTCTCCTTCTCCACCGCAGGCAAAGAAGCAAACACCGTTCGTCTTTATCTCCTTTTCCGCCTTCTCCTTCCTCCCTCTTTCCTCAGCCTCCACCATTTCTTTCACCAAATGAGCTAATGCCGTTACGACCCTAACTACTGACTCGCTTCTGAAGAGATTAGACTCACGAGAAACGAATTCGAACACATTCTTGAGAAACCCTTGGGGGTTCCACATATCAAAAAATTTCTCTAAGTATCTATTGTGCATTGCTTTTATTATTTTGAGTGTTTTGTTTTTATTCTTCAATTTATTATAATTGATGAATTTTTGCACTTACAGTTGGAAATTAGTTATGTATAAAAGAAATTTTTTATTATAAATTAACTTTTAAATTTTGACCACAGGTGTCTTTTACTAATATGTATACATAATATTTCGGCAAATTATATGTGGGATAATTATCATTATAAAAAAATAATAATAAAAAAATAGAGTCCAACTCCCAAATCTTGAGGATATGAAATTTCGAACTCCCAACTTGAGGGTAATGCTTCGTTTTGTTGGAGGGATGGAAAAATGGATGGAAGAGATAGAGTGATGAATGGATGAGGAATCCCTAGGGAACGGAAGGTGTCTTCTCCATTTTTTGTTTGGTTGAATGGAATAGATAGTAGAAAGGATGGATGGGGTGATATTTTTTTATGTTTGGTTGGAAGGAAGGGAAATAGATTTTTTATATTTTTTTTACCAATATATCCTCACTGTATAAAATAATAAAAAATAGATATCCATTTGAATTTTTTTGACAAAGGTTAAAATTGAAAATTGCATATTGTTGGTAGTTATTCATTTTCTCTCTCCTCCCTTCCCCCCAAAATTGGGCGGATAGAAAAACATGAAGAAAGGAAGGATGAAGCATCCCTCCTTGCTTCCTCCCTCTCTTCCCTTCCCTCCAACCAAACACGAAAAGCCTCATCCATCCCTCCTCTCATCCATCTCTCCTCAATCCATCCCTCCAACCAAACATAGCATAAGAGATTAGATTCATTGTTGCTAGAATTTATTGAAATTTTTTTACCTATGAAAAAAAGACCGACAACATATTAGAATTTACTCCTAAAACAAAGACTCGGTCAATTGGGTTGTGTTCTTCTCTCCAACATACTCTGATTCAAATGGTCTAAGCAATTCAAATAATAATTTATTATTATTATTTTTTCTGAAAGATGAAGCAAATATATTAGGGTAAATTGCACTCACACTCTCTAGACTTGGGTTAAAGACATGTAGTTACAACTTAGATATTTTTTGGACAATAACATCCCCAAGTTGGTAAATTGAACAATGACAGCCTAAATCAAAATAAAAGTATCTTATTGTCATTCAACTTTATTGATGTATTTAAATTATGAATTTATCATTTTAACCTTCTAAAAACATTTTAATTTTGTCTATTAAAATGTTTATGAACAAGTTACATCCCATAATTTATACAAAAAACATAATGTTCATAAAAGAACAAGTTATATTACTCTTCAAAGAGGAATAAACAATTGCATTGGTTAGATGCAAAATTTATTTAGTGATAGAATTATTAAATATTAAATTTTATCTATCTCTTATTAGAAATAAAAAATTTGACATTGAGAAGCGATGGAGAAGATAATAACATCATTATTTTGGCATAACTTTCAATCCACATATGTTTAATTAATTGCATAAATCAAATTGGTAACAAACGCAAGAACCATATAAAAATAGGCAATGAATATTTTCATGAATAGGTAGTAATATTAATTATAATAATAATATTAATTTGTTTTAAAGTTTAGGTATATGAGCTTCTTTGTCAAGATAAAAAAAAATTAAAAAAGAAAAAGAAAAAAAACAAACTATCTACAATCATGTGGTCCAATGTTTTTAATTATTACCTTTCACAAAAAAATAAATAAATAAATAAATAAATAAATAAATTGTCTTTAGTTGTTGGTCAATTATTATGAGTAGTTTAGGAGTTATGAGAGTTTACTGGCAAATAAAGATCACATAATCGTGAATAATAAAAGAGTGTAGATATAATGTCTTCCCAAGATCAATGATCATAATTGTCAAAATAAAGTTACAGTGTGAAGGTTAATTTTGTCCATTAAAATGCTTTGAGAAGGTTAAAATAGCAAATTCATAATACAAAGAAGTCGCTTCATAAGTCAAAAGACAATAAAGTACTTTTATTTTGATTTGGAGTGTTATTGTTTAATTTACCAAATCTAGTGATGTCATTGTTCAAAAAAATATTTAAGTTATAATTATATATCTTTAACCCAAACCAAGAAATTGTGAGTGTAATTTATCTAATATATTAATAATAAGAGAAGAGTGCACATTGTAAGGCATTCGGCCACAAACCCGTATAAACAATCATTTTTTTCAAACACAGGTTGAGTGTTTGAGCTGAATATAATAAGTGCGCATGCCATTACTTGAATTTTCAAAAAATAAAAAAATAATGACAGTAGTAATTGAGAGAATTATTTTCATTAGGTTGAAAAAATAATAATAATAACTTTAAAAAAAAAAATCCCTACATAAAAAGTGCATTTTTAGATGGATTATACTTTTGGGCAAGGAGTAAACAAATCATATGGATAACACAGTATCTTGGCATGTGCAACAGTATCTTGCCAACGATTTTAGATTTACGGTTTCTTGTCTACAATTTTAGCATTTTGATTTATTAAAGTTAAATTTGCACATAGAGAATAGTCCTCTATTCAATTGGTAAATTTTATTAGTCAATCTGTGAAATACCATCTTGAAATAGGGGTAGAACTTGTAAATGTCTCGATAGTTCAGTAAATTAGTGTCTCTCGTAAATTTTGGAGTATCAGACTTCGACTTTCTGTATCTGCTACTAATCTAACTTCTAACACTTTTTACCTTGAAAAAAATAAAAATAAAAAACAATTTAAAACTTTCCTATCAAAATTTTCACACACGAAATATTAGATATGATCATGATACAATATAGATACATCAACAGGCTAAATGGAAAACAGGTAATTCATTTCTAATTTCAATACCATCATTTTCTTTTACTTGTTTGGCCAGCAAGAAAACAAGTTTTTCTAATTTTTTCTCTTTCAAAGACTAAAAATTGAATCATGTATATATATCTATTGGTTGGTGGCTGAACAGTCGGGCATCGAATAAATCTCACAAATTAGAGAAGAAAAAAAAAAACTCCAATATCATTGCCCAAAAGTTAGAGCAAAAGGCCAATATAAGACCATCAAATTTAAGTAAGGACGGCATATGGGCCAGTCAATTTGAGTTTGATTTAGTTTAAATAAAACTCATACACACTATATATATATATATATATATATATATATATATATATATGATAAGTTTAGCACGCATTTGACCATTCAATCTTCTCATAATTCATCTCTCATAATAACTAAATTCATCTGAGTTGTGAGAGAGAGACTCAATGACTTCTTTAACTTCTACCAATTTTGTGTCATAGTTGGACAATTAAACAACCACCCTACACTCCTTAAGTTTAGAGGAGGTAAGCAAACTCAATTTCCGCCATATATGATTATGTAATAAAAGAAGAAGAAAAAATAAAAATAGATTAAAAAAAAAAGTGGTATAGTTCCAATAAAATATAAATAATTTAATTATTAAAAAAAATTCTGTTTAATTCAGTTTTCTAAAAATTATTTTGTTGATTTCATGTTGTGAATTATTACCATACACATTATTACAAAAACAAAACATATATATATAAATATAAATATCTGACTGCATAGGCTGGAGTTGCAGTTGCACTGAAGATTTTTAAACTCGCTTCCACAGTCGTAGCAAAAATGGGCCCCACATCTACATTCAAATAGATTAAGAGTAAATATTTAGAAAACGAACTTGAAATGAAATAAAGAAAGTGAAATAGCAAAGTGATTGCTTTAAATACAAAATATATAGGGAGAGAGAAAGAGTGAGTACCTGCATACAATACTTCTGCAACCCGTAAAACGTTCAATGCAATGGAGGCAGCGGGGACATCTCTTCCAATTTTTCCTCTCTACAAGTATTCCGAACTGAACATCATTCCTATTTCTAATCTCTCGACTCTCTTCACATCGATAGCCGGAGTGCCATGGAAGCTTGCAGTGGAAACAGAAAATCCTCTTGCAATTGGGACACACTGATTTCTTAACATTCCCTCCACATTCGTTCACAACCAGAGCCGAGCAATTCCGATTCGGGCAGTAACATCTTTTCAACTCTAGAACGGCCGACTCGCACAGCACATCGCACCACTTGTCGAACAGTTTTGCTGGCACGACCGCCCTGCAGGAGAGAGGATCTAAGAGCTGCTCGCAATTCAGTGCCGGACATGGGACGTTGGCGACGCTGTCCTCCTCCACCTTCACTTGGATGTACTTCATCATGCAATCTGTGCAGAATGGATGAACACACCTGTTCTGGTTCTTGAATTTCTTGGTTGACGATGATAACATGGGTTCGATGCATATCTCGCAAGTGAACGTTGATGATGCCTCCTCTTCTTTCGATTCCTCTTCTTCTTGCCGGAGCTTTTGCACTGTGTTTCCCATCGTGTAATAACATAACTGGGGATATTATGTGATTAATTGGTACTGATTTTACATATATATATATATATATAGTAAGGTAACCTGAATAAGGAAAGAGTTCCAGTTAGGTTCGGAATTGTAATTCTTTTCCATTTAGGATTGGGAAAATTATGTATAAGTAGAGTTAGTCCTAATTCATTTTTTAATTCTATTGAATTTTATAAAATAATTGTAAATGCATCAATTATTATTGTTTAGGACAAAATAGTCCAGTTTTTATTTTAAATTACCAAAATATCTTTCTTAAGATAATATAATTCCAAAATAATCCCTCTCTAGTTGTTATTTATTTTTTCAATAAATTTTTTTAATTATCAACAAAATAATATATATATATATATATATATATATATATATATATATATATATGACTATTCACTGTTCTGGTGTGTAAGGAATTTATTCGTGAATTAAATCTTAACTGTTGAATATAAAAGAATAAACTATCTTTCTAACTGCCCAATAAAATCTATATAATACTATCTTGTTTTGTGAGTCTCAATTCCCGACATCTAAAATAGGACAGTGAGAGGGAGTAATAATCAAAGAAAGTTGTCTGTTCAAAGTAATTGTGTGTATAATCTATTCTAAGACCAAATTCAGAATAATATAATATAAAATAATAAATAAACTAACTTGCCAAACAAACCTATACTATTTTGCTAAGAACAAAGGAGGGAGGTAATGATGAAATCATTCCCTTGTGGCTTTTCTTAGTTTTGGCCAAAATAAGAGAGTACTCTTTTTTTTTTTTGGAAACAGGAACTCCCCTGGGCAGGGCCCGTATGGACCCACCCCAAGTTACAAACCTGTGCCATGCGCACCGGTCCCTCAACACACGCAGCAATAAATCGAGAGAAATAGATGGCTTGAAAAGAGTCGAACACCGGCCATTTCAAACCTAGTGCCAATAAGAGAGTACTCTTGCTAAGCATATGGATAACCGAATTGCTTTTTCAAACTCAAATCGAAGTGTTAGATGATACCAGAACCAATAACAAAGAGGAGGCTATCATATGCTGTATCAATACTGATTGAGTAATACAGGGACTCTCTAATAGCTCTTCTTGTTGTAATGGATTCCATTTTCTTTATGGATTTTTTTTCTCTCCTGCACAACGCTTTTTCCAAGCACAGAAACCACCCACTTCGGCAGGATTTGATAGTTTCCTAATTTTTTTGGCATTTTGAAATGGACAATAATTAGGTTCTCACTAGTGAAGATGTGAAAAATTACAAAATTATAGATGGTGGAAAGCGAGCTGGGCTTCTATAGATGAGGCCTTTTGGCGAAGCCAAGTCAATTTCGGGCCACCAAACCCTGCAACATTCACTTACCAAATCAAAGATAGTAATTTGTTAAAATAGGACGTACCCATTTATTATTGGTCCACATCAGCGATGAGTATGTTGTAAATCCTCACTATTAAGGACCTAAGTATTATCCTTTTGGAATTATGTGATATTAAGAAGGATATTTTGGTATTTTAGAATGAGAGATTTGAGGGTATTTTGGACTTGAACAAAAATTCTTGATGTATTTGTAATTATTTTGTTTATTTTAATTAAATTAAAAAGTAAACTTTTAAGATTTATTGCAATTTAATAAATTAAAAAAAATTTAAGTGCATATATATATATATATATATGCATACTCAAATAATACATAATATTTCGGCAAATTACATGTTGGACAAGAATATTCCAACTCCCAATATTGTGGATATGAAATTTCGAAGTCCCGAGTTGAGGATATGAGATTAGATTCATTACGTTAGAGTTTATTGAAATTTATTTACTTATGAAAAAAAGAAGAAGAACATATTAGAATTTACACCTAAAACAAAGACTATAATTTACACCTAAAACAAACACTCGATCAAGTGGGTCTGCTCTTTAGTGTTCTTCTCTCCAACTTACTCTGATTCAAACTATAAATTGCACTCACACTCTCTAGATTTTGGTTAAAGACACGAAGTTACAACTGGCATATTGGACAATGACACCCTTAAGTTTGGTAAAGTGAACAATGACACCTCCAAATCAAGGTAAAAGTATTTTATTGCAATTTGACTTACGAATTGACTTATTTGAATTATGAATTTACCATTTTAACCTTTTAAAAGCATTTTAATTTTGTCCATTAAAATGCTTATGAACAAGTTGTATTCCACTATTTACAATATATCAAATTAATTACAAATTATAGTTTGTCACAAAAAGCATAATGTTCATAAAATGAAAAAGTTATATTACTCAACAATTGCATTGGTTAGATGCAAAATTTATTAATTGATAGAATTATTAAATATTAAATTTTATCAATCTTTTGTTAGAAATAAAAAATTTGACATTGATAAGCGATAGAAAAGATAATAACATCATTATTTTGGCATAACTTTCAATCCACTTCTGTTTAATTATATAAATCAAATCCGTAACAAATGCAAGAATCATATAAAAATAGTCAATGAATATTTTCATGAATAGGTACTAGTACTTGTAGTAGTATATAATATATACTAATTATAATAATATTTTTAATTTGTTCTAAAGTTTAGGTATATGAGTTTCTTGTCGAGAAAAAAAAATAAAAACAAAAAGACAAAAATCATGTGGTCCAATGTCTTTAGTTATTACCTTTCATGAAAAAAAAAAAAGAAAAAAAAAAAAAAAAAAAAAAGAAAAGAAAAAAGAAAAAAGAAAAAGTCTTTAGTTATTGGTCAGTTATTATTAGTAGTTTAGGACTTATAAGAGTTTATTGGCAAATAAAGATCATATAATCTTGAATAATTAGAAGAGTGTGGATATAGTGTCTTCCCAGGGCCAATGATCATAATTGTCAAAATAAAGTTGCAGTGTACGTGAAGGTTAATTTTGTCCATTAAAATATTTTGAGAAGGTTAAAATAGTAAATTCGTAATACAAAAAAAGTCAATTCATAAGTTAAAAGGTAATAAGATACTTTTATCTTGATTTGGGGGCGTCATTGTTTAATTTACCAACTCTGGGGGTGGCATTTTCCAAAAAGTGTTTAAGTTATAGTTTTACATGTCTTTAACCCAAATCAGGAAATTGTGAGTGTAATTTATTTCATATATTAATAAGAAAATAATGCACATTATAAGGCATTCGGCCCCATAATACACGCACTATTCAAGTTAGGAGTGCGGTTTGAAAGCGAGTTCTCAAGAACTTACCTCCCAAATCTCTGCCAACACCGTTTTGCCCTGAGGACTATCAATCATATTATTTGAATGACTATGATCATATCACGCTCATTCTTGCACTTATTTCCAGTATTTGGGAAGTTTATGAATTATCCTCTTTTACTAACATCTTACAAGAAGGATAGCTATTTCTCATTTTTAATTGACACAAGAGGATTTTACTAGATCTGTCTGATCCAGCATTATAAGGACATGATTGAAATTTTATTATTAAAAAAAAATACGAAAATCTGTTTACTTATTTCTAAGTAATATATATTTGTATAGAGTATTGATCTCTTGCTCCCCATAGAGTAAGAAAATTTTTCCGCATTTTTTATAATGACCATTAGATTAAATCTAATGGTCACATTCTAAACCCACCTATAGCTTTCCTTTTAATACAAAACCACTATCACTATTTCTAGTTTTCAAATTTAATATTTACCAATAGAATTAATTATAACAATAAAAGGTAAGTACTAAAAAAATAAAAATAGAAATCTCTTCACCTCTTGAAATCACGTCTCACAATTAATTGAATTTTTTTTTTTTATAAATTTTTTTGTAAGTGTTGGAAAATTGCATCCATAACTTGATACCTATGAAGCACGGACACTCCTCCTAGGGGTCTCGTAACGGTGTCGGACACTTTTTGGACATGGACACGCGTGTCCGAGGCCCGAACATGGGATGGACACGGCTCGAACACGGCTCAAACACAGGTGGACACGGCTCGGACACGCGGGGGAAACGGCTCGGACACGGCGGGGTATATTTTGTAATTTTTTTTAAGATAAATGGGGTAACTAATGTAATTCTTTAGAAGTTTAAAAGTAAAATTTTGAAAAAAAATAATAATAATAACAACTACAGACAAGAGTACTACGCAGTAAATTTATTTTTTCTCACTTCCACTCTCAATCTCTCCTCTTCTTTAATTATCTCTGTACATGAACAAAACAATTTTTTTTTTTTTTAAAAGTTACATCAACAAGACTTTGTGAAAGACTGAAAGTATATATGTTTATTCATGCACATATTTAACCCATTATAACTATGTCTCTTCTGCACATCTTCGTTTTGGAATTTGGATCAACTTTAATTTTTCATTTATTTTCTATTTTGTCTTGTCTATGTTTTTCTTATAACAAAGATGAAATTATTGAAATTGGTCATGTTATTTGTTGTTGTTTTATTTGCAATTTTGTATTTATATATACCTGTTTGTTATTAAAAAAAAAATGAATGTGCAAGGTTCTAGTAATTATATTTTGAATATATATATATATATATATATATTATTTTATAGTCGTATCCCCGCCGTGTCCATATCCTATTTTTTTGAAATTTGTCGTGTCACCGTATCCGTGTCGTGTCGTACCCGTGTCCCGTGTCGGTGTCCGTGCTTCATAACTTGATACTAAAGTTAACATTATCTGTTTGAGTGTAAAAAAGAAATTAAAAATTACACTATTGACATACAAAACAAAGAAACATTAACTAAAAAATAATAAAAAATTAAAAATAAAATTTACTTGATTAACTTAATGTAATCTGTGATTTGCACTACACTTCACTCATAAAAAAATTAATAGATTACAATTTAAATTATTGAATACCTCCCTAAATGCATTTTATTTAAATATTAGAAATTCAATCTATTTTTCTCTAACTCTTTGTCATAAATTCTAACTAGATGTAAACACATTCCAATTACTCATTTGTCAAAATAAATCACACAATATATTTTTTCTAGTTCTACTATAATAACAAAAATTTATTGATGTAATGAGGAGATTCACAACAAAACATGCTATTATTTTATTAAATTTCAGATTTTCTTTGTAAATTAGTTGTTTTTCTTAATATTTTCTTTAATACTACTATTATTATATTATCATTATTTTTATTTTTTTAGTACTTACCTTTTATTGTTATAATTAATTGTATTGGCAAATATTAAATTTGGAAACTAGAAATAATGATAGTAAAATTGAATTAATAAACTCACAACTCAAAATTGAGAGAATTATTTTCATTAGGTTGAAAATAAAAATAAAAATAATTAAATAAAATAAAACCTATGATTTGAGTTCTCTAACACATAAAAAGTGAATTTTTAGATAGAATATAGTTTTGGGAAAGGAGTAAGACAAATCATATGGATAGCACAGTTTTGTTGCCTTGCTATGACCTGACCCTTTTTTCTTAACATAGATTTGGCATGTGCAACAGTATCTTGCCAACCATTAGCATGTTTGATTTATTAAAGTTGAATTTACAGTTCCTTGTCTACAATTCTAGCATTTTGAGTTATTAAAGTTGAATTTGCACATACGGAATAGTCCTCTATTCAATTAGTAAGTTTTATTCATATCAATCAAAATATCATCTTGAAATAGGGGTAGAGCTTCCAAATGTTATTCAGATATTATTCAAAGCCATAGGAAGATTATTTATGTAGAAAATCAGAGTTGATTTTTCTGATATCTTTCTAGAACACATACACATAAACATAGTTTAGAATTGTGGTGTTCGAATCCTGATCGTGATCATACAGTCGTATTAACATCGATCAGACGAAGCAGATCTTCTTCTACATCATTCAGAAGATTGAAAAACAGAAGTAAATGCAATCACACTTTGAAAGGGTTGGAGCATTCGTGGAGTGATGTCTGATCTACCTGCTACTCTTCTACAAATATCAAGTATAAGCCTGAGATCAAGTTGCCGTTGGACGAGGAACCGCAAAGCCAGAGGATCGTCAACGGTTGGTGTGGTGTGAACGATAGAGTGTGAACCAGAATCAAAGTTCGGTATACTTTGTTTCAAGCATAATGAATTGGTTTATTTAGACTGCACAAGTTCACGAGATTTTTCCCATAACAGTTGACGTATTTTATCAACTGGGGTTTCCTCGCTAAAATCCTGGTGTCATCTCTAACTTTATACTTTGCTTTATTTTATCTGCATGTGATTAACTATTTAATTGTTAAAATAAAGTAAGTTAGAAAAACACAAGATCTGTTTTTACAAAATATAAAACTTTCTAAAGTTTTTTCCGTTGCGTAGACTCACACAAAATAGTCACAGCATTATATATATATATATAGAGAGAGAGAGAAACTTGCATTTAATGTGTTGGCAACCTGTAATACGTTCAATGCAATGGTGGCAGCGGGGATATCTATTCCAATTGTTCATCTCTACAACCAATCCAAATTGAACAACATTCATATTTCTAATCTCTTGACTCTCTTTGCATCGATAGCCGGAGTGCCATGGAAGCTTACAATGGAAACAGAACATCCTCTTGCAATTGGGACACTCTGATCTCTTAACATTCCCTCCACATTCGTTTACAACCAGAGCCGAGCAATTCCGATTCGGGTAGTAACATCTTTCCAACCCTAGAATGGCCGACTCGCACAGCACATCGCACCACTTGTGGAACAGTTTTGCTGGAATCATCGACCTGCAACAGAGATGATCTAAGAGCTGCTCATAATTCAATGCCGGAAATGGGACGTTAGCGACGCTTTCCTCCACCTTCAATTGGTGGATGTACTTGATCATGCAATCTGTGCAGAATGGATGAACACACTTGTTGTTGTTCTTAAATTTCTTGGTTGATGATGATAACATGGGTTCGATACATATCTCGCAAGTGAAGGTTGATGTTTCGTCTTCTTTTGATTCCTCTTCTTCCAGAGGTCTCTTTTGGTTTCTCTGAATCTTTTGCACGGGGTTTCCCATGGTCTAATTCGATGTTCTAAACAGAGGATAAGACGAAGAAGACTCGCATACGTGCTCTGTTTATATATATCTATTGATATGAGTTAGAATTGCCAATGACGCTGCAAGGCTGATCATCACCAAGATACACCTTGCCAAGGTTACTCGGTTCATATCTATTAAATAGCTCTTTGCTTAAGGTGCCATGAAACGATGCACCAGAATTTAAAACCTATGACTCTGTCTTGCTCTCTAAAGAGTATATCAATGCATCATCTGATTCTTCTGAGACAATGTTTTCTTCAGTTTTTCTTTCGGTGCCCTTCTTTGGAAGTCTGCAATCAACATAGTAATGTCCCTTCTTTCCACAATTCCAATACTCAACATCACTGAGATCTATGGAATTCCTGAAATTTTGAGACTGTGTCCTTTCATTCCTTGACTTGGATCTGCCTCTATTTCTATTACTGTTACCCTTCTTCTTGTTTGAACCCTTATCTCTGCTTTCATAATTCAATGCCAAACCACTGGTGGAAACCCCTGCTATTTGTTTTCTGATTTCTTCAATCAGAATCATGCTCACAACTTCATCAAACTTCAACTTGGTCTTCCCTGCAAAGCTACTGATCGTTGTAACTGTGCCACTCTAACTCTCGGGTAACTACCCTAGAATTAGCAGTGGTCGGACCTCGTCTTTGAAGTCGATATCAGCAGACTCTAATTGCCCAACTATCTCGTTGAACGCATTTAGATGTTCGTTGAACTTACCACCTTCGACCATCTTCATGTTGAACAACTTCTTGATCAAGTGCACCTTGTTCGCTATAGAAGGCTGTTCATACATACTAGAAAGGGTTGCCATGAGAGACATCGTCGTCTTCTCGTTCTTGATGTTGAAGGCGACTGATTTTGACAACGTCAATCTGACGATGCCAAAAGCCTTCCTATCAAGTAATTCTCATTCTACATCCTTTGTATCCTATAGCTTCTCTCCCAAAGGTTTATACAGATTTTTTTGAAATAAGAGGTCTTCAATTTATATCTTCCAGAAACTGAAGTTTGTCCCATCGAACTTCTCGATCATGGATGTGGATGTCTTATCTTCTAATGACATTACTCCCACTCGAACGGACAGATCTAATCGAAAAACTTTTAAAATTTCGTCAAACACCTTCTGTGCCCTAGGTTCTCAACCAAAGGCTCTGATACCAGTTGTTGGAGTTGCACTGCACAATCAAACGGATTTGATACCAGTTGTTGTGGCGGAAACGCAAAATAAATAACACTGTTCAAGGAATCAACAAGTAATCACGAAAAAAAAAATTACGCACAAGAATACAAGATATGCATGGTTCACCCAAATCTTAGGGTTACGCCCATGGAGCACACTGAACAAATTCACTATATAAAAGATGAATAATTACAATGGAGAATTCTCTCTCAATCTCTCTCAATTGCTCTCTCTTGTATTGGAACAAATTTATCTCTAACTTTCACCCCCTCTAAAATCTGAATAGAGTTGATATTTATGGAGATCCAAACTTGTCCTACAAGAACTTGTCTTTTGTAGAATCCAAAACCAATAAGGAAGTTAAATCAGATCCAGAAACTGAATTTCCTTTAAACCAATAAGGAAGTTAAATCAGATCAGGAAACTGAATTTTTCCTAAAATTCAGCAGTGTTGGAGTTCCCATATGATTAAATATTCCTAAAAAATAATCAGACTCCACGAAACCATAATAATTCGTAGACTCAATTCGTGGGCCCCTAACACTTGAATGTGATCGATGACTTCATTTGGTTTTAATGTTTTGATTGCCGTTTTGCGTCAATCACAGCTGAGTTAAATGCGGATTATTGGACTCAATTCGTGGAGCTATTAGACCATATGTTACAGCAAATGTCTGTTAAAATTATAGTGAGCGTTCAAAGTAGGAATAAGTATGCATTTTATGCTTCAAAAATTAATTATACTTCAGCTATATTTTTAAATTATGTATATCACACAACATTCATTTGAATGCGCGCGAATGCATACGCGTTCATTCAGAGTCTGTTTGATCATTTTGTGAACTGCAATTCTTTTTCTTTTTCTTTTTTTCTTTTTTTTTTTTACTCCAGAAGCAGACTAATAGAGAGTCTTATATTAGTATTGCATTGCATTCATTCTTTGAAATTATTATATATTTTAATATATACATGTTATATCCATAGTGATGAAACTTAATTACTGCCTTAAGACAACTGAAATTGTTAATACTAATTTTCTTTCTCGTGGGTGTTAATCTTCTACACATAAAGTTCAAAAAATTTTAATTGTTTCACACTTAAAAGGTGTTTTAAACTTTTATATAAGGATCAATTGAGCATTAATTTTTCATAGTTTGATCTTTTTGTACTTCTTCTAGCTTTAGAATATGAGTTTACCTTTCCATACATATATATATATATATTTGTTTGAAACAATTCTTGATTGACTTGTGTTCGTCGTATGTTTTAAGCTTACAGATTTGCAATGTTTTAATGGTTGATTTAACTCGTACTGCTATAAACAAGGGTTTAGGATGTTATTGAATATATATAAGATGGTTAAGATCGGTTTTGATTATCTGTATACGTGTTAATATAATCTGTAAGTATGCTTGCAAATTGAAGTCCAAGTTTTGTGGTAACGCGTAATGAATCGGTAGGGGTTTTAAGTTACAGTAATAAATTTCAACTGCCAAAACAAATCATTGGGATGCTACTGGATATATATTAGACTGCTAAGATCATTTTTAAGGAAGAACAGAGGGATTGGAAGTGGTCGGAGTCGAAGCAGAAGGTCGGAAACAAGGCTGGAATGGACTGGAGGCTCACTGAGAGAGAGAGAGCCAGCTTTGGGAAGCCAAGAGCCGGCTCCCACTCTTCAAGAGCTGGCTCCAAGATGGTATGGAGCCGGCTCCATGCATATAAGAGCCTGCTCTAAGTTTCAAGAGCAGACTCTCTCCTATTTTGATGTATTTTAGTGTTTTCTGATTTTCAGGGCACCGTTTGGATGATTTTAATTCTTTCGAATTGTGTTGTGAGGGCACTTGGGGTTCTTAATTTAAAATTCAAGTGTATTTAAACCTCTTGTTGCATATTTTATACATTTACGCTAAAGTGTTAAACAGTAGGAAAGTAAACAACTTTTCAGTACTGTTAACGGTTGGAGGAAAGTTAAATTGCGTAGTTTAATTCAATGATTGAATGGATTATTAAACCATTCATGGGGATGATTTTGGGTGTAAATAGGATTCTTAAACTTAGTATTAAAGATGAACTGAAGGCTGGGAATAGCCGGAGACGAAGCTGAAAAGCGAAACGGAGCAAAACTAGACAAGGCTCTAAGCCTTTAAAAGCAGGCTCTAAGTTTTTATAAAGCAGGCTCCATGGTGTAAAGAGCCTGCTCTATGATTTTCAAGAGAAGGCTCTTTGGTTAGGTTACGTTTGGTTGCAATCTAGAGTTGTTTGGGAACTGTTTGGGCTATGTTTGGAGTTCTAAATTGTTTCAGGGAGTCTACTAACAATTTTAAAAGTATTTTCAAGAGATCTTAAGCTCTCTAATTGCATAATTTAGCCTATTATAGGAAGGGAATGATCAGTGTGAAATTTAGACAATTCACATACTATTAACGGTTGGAAGAGAAGTAGTTGTTCAATTTTTAAATGGGCGACTTAAGTAATTATAACATGATGTTAATCTTGTTTTAAATGCACGTTAGGGTCATTTACTTAATAAATTTGATCTATGCACACTCGGGAATATAATTGCTGAATTAATAAATCCGTTCTGCAATTACGTAGATTAAGGATAGGAAATTACTTGTTTGTTCTAATATGGCAATTTAATGAATTATAACATGTTTCTAATTTTTGTTTTAGATGCATAATAGAGTCTTTTAGTTAACAGATTGGACCTGTGCATGCTTTCGATTTTTATATTGCTGAAACATTAATTTTTCTACAATTACATGAGTAAAAGGTTTGCTTTAAATTGCTGAATTATTATATACACTATTCTGCAATTAATTGGATGATGGTTTTCAACTGGATGATAGTTTTGGACTTAAATTGCTAAACTAAAACATAGGTTTTGTAATTTACACGGGAGTTAACCTGGACTTAATTGAAGGATTAATTACATATTTTCTGTCAATTATATGAATGGATTCTGGATTTTAAGTTGACGAAAGATTAGGTTTTGTCTCGTCAATTTCATGGATATTGTCATGGATATTTAGTTGATAAACTGTTCCAATTTTGTTTTACCAGCTACATGGATTTATGTGGATTGTATTTGGTGTACTGATTGAGTTAATGCATCATTTACGGATCATATACATGGTATGTACCGGTATGGGACGGTGACATACGGAGGGATGGATTAGATCAAAACGCTAATTCCAACCCATTCATACATACAGAATGGATTAAATAAAACAGTTAAATCCTACATGGTTTCATGTCTTGTCAACTAACACAGTTGAACGACATACTGGATGATTGTTTATATTTCTGTATTAGGAAGGATAGGGTTTTAACTAAAACGTTTAAATCCTAATTTTATGTCGTGTTATGGCAACGAACAGTTGAGCGGCACTACATTGGTTTGGATGGAAATTTATATATATAAATTATGGTACCACGATCTGAGCTTGAGTCTCACAGTCGACGGTTAGGGTGCGTATACGCAGTAGGATGCGTAACTAGCTATGTTGGTTGAGGTATACCCTGTTAGCCTTAGGTAGTCATGCCCACTCAGGTGCGTATTGCATATTGCCTTCTATTCAAGTTGAGACCCTCAGCATAGTTTAGTGAGAGTCTTGTAGTGTGGTTATATGTATATATCTATTTACGGACTATATAGATATAGTTGAGACATCTAGGATGTATCTGCGTATCGGGTCTCTGTTTGGATTGTAGTTAGGATAGAACTTGTTCGTGGGCCTAACCCACTATTATTTTTTAGGTAACGGACGGTTTCAGGTCTTAGATC